GCTGGGAGACTTTGGGCCAATCACCAGGAGACAGTGAGTTCTAGTCCCGCCTTAGGCATGAAAGCCAACTGGATGACTCTGGGCCAATCACCAGGAGACGGGGAGTTCTAGTCCCGCCTTAGGCATGAGAGCTGGCTGGGTGACTTTGGGCCAATCACCAGGAAACGGTAAACTCTAGTCCCACCTTAGGCAGGAAAACCAGCTGAGTGTCATTCTGAGCCAATCACCGGGAGACAGGGAGTTCTAGTCCCATCTTAAACATGAAAGGTGGCTGGGTGACCCGGAGCCGGTCACTCTTTCACAGCCCTAGGATTGAAGCAATGGCCAACCAATTCTGAAACGCCCTGCCAAGAAACTTCCAAGGATTTATCCGGAAAGTCTCCGAGAAATGGACACGATTTGTCCGAGTATATTCATGAACTGGCAGAGACATGGTTAACAAAGTCAGCCAGGTGAGTAAGCATGGCAACAGACCAGCCAAGGGGAGATGACAGCCTGGCTGCGGTTTGGCTCTGGGTGCTTTGCTGAGAATCGAAACTGCACTTGCTTCTGTTACGTTGACAGAATCTGCAAATGGTATTGTAAACTTTACTTATGATGTTTATAAAGAAGTGAAACACCTGCGTGTTTTCTGCCTTGAATTTCGGCTGCAAAATCAAACACAATCGGACGGAAGAAAGACAATATCGGAATGGACTAAGGAGGGATGCCATGGTGGGGGTCGAGCCCTCCCTAGTTTTCAGCCCCCCCCCCCCGCCCTTTTGCCATAAGCCTCAAACTGAGGAGCCCACCCCCCCTTCCAGCTGCCGGCCCCTGGCCCCCGGCCCCTTACCACTGCTGTTTCTCCATCTTTTCGTTCTCAAAGAAGACAGTGAAGCCCCAGCTGGAAAAGAGAAAGGAGGACACCTTGTTGTCAGGTTGTGTGGGTGTGTGCACAAATTCCTACCCTGGCTTCTGGGGCCCACCCAGTTCCATGCTTCCCCCTTCGGTGGCCTGCAGGGGGCACCAGAGAGTACTCAAACCAGGCCGCTGGAGTAGATCCCCAAGGCGCTTTTTTCAAAAGGCAGCTGGACTTGGTTTTTTCCTTGGTCTTATTTTTTTCCCCCTTCTCTAGAACTGATGAAGCTTCTTGGGTGAGAAGCGAAATGTCTTCATTGCAAAAAATAAAAAATAAAGCACCTTTGGGAACCGCCGTGACCTGGATGACTGACACGGGGGAGGGGGTCCTTCATGCAACAGGTTGGAGGGGGGGGGGGGGGGGGGGGGGGGGAAGAGGGGGCTTCCATGCAGCCCCCCAAATGCAGCAGGAAGCTAAAACTGATGTTCAGGCTATGCAAATTATGCAGAAATAGGAGCCAGCCTGAGATTTGAATTTTGCACCGACCAGCCCGTTTTCCAATGACTCTGTGGGGTGATAGACGGGTGGGGAGGCTGAATTAAGACTCTGGGGCTTGACGCAGGGCAGGACCATCCTGTGCGATTTGGGGCTGGTGCCACATCTCAACCCTGCGCACTTTGGAATAGAATAGAATAGAATAGAATAGAATAGAATAGAATAGAATAGAATAAGAAAGAATAGAAAACAGAATAGGAGAGAAGAGAAGAAAAGAGAACAGAAGAGAACAGAACAGAACAGAATAGAATAAGAAAGAATAGAATAGGAAAGAATAGAATAGAATAGAAGATAATAGAATAGAATAGAATAGAATAG